TCATCAAAGTTTGTTTTAAATGGTTGAGTGGTTTCTTCATTCACTGATTAGTGGTTAGATACTCAACTTGGTAATAAAGTTTGGCCTTGGGTGTTTAGTTTCTCATATAGAAAGATTGGTTCCACCCAAGGCTGCTTGATCAGGTCGAGGATGCTCTAAGAGTTGGCAACTGTAAAGTACACCAATTCTTCGCAGTGAGTGGTTTCCTCCCGCAGTGCATTCTCTCCTTCCCACCACTTCCATTTGTTTTTTTTTTTTTTTTTGGGGGGGGGGATTAAGGTTAAATTTTCAAAACAACTGTAGAAAAGAAAATGTTCCGCCAGCAAAGGAAATAGGGTGTCCAGTGGTAATTAAGGAACAGCTTTTCCCACCAGGCATGTTGGGTCAAACACACGATTCTTGGACTTTCGTATTGTTCTTATCACACATACAACTCTAAAGTTTTAAACAATTTTATAATAAGCTCCTCAAAAAAATATATATATATATATAAGAAATTTGTTCAAATATTATGACGAGATTGAAAACAAGGTTACTATCTTCCTTCTGCCAACACTATTTTATGATATATTTTGTGTTTATATATAATCTGAATTTTAGGTCTTTTCACAACCTTTCTGGAATGGATGTACTGATCTTTTCACCCAGTCAGAAGGTGTGAATGTTCAACACATAAATCAGTAAATTTACAAGAATGATTCTTTATCAGAGAAATTTTGCTTTGTTCAATTACATGTTAAAAACCGAATGAGTCGGTAACTTATTTGTCGGTTTGCATTTGCCTTGTCCATGTTAAGCTCTTTTGGCTTTCTGTTTGCAGTGACACAAACTTTGGTCGTCTTCACCAAGATGTTCAATAAAGCACGTGACGAGAATGGACAGCAGGCAGAGGCTGAAAAGAAGAAATTGGAGAAGGAAGCTCTGAAAGAACAGGCTGGAGCAAACTCATCTGCGAGAAAAGAGGTTGACTCCGATGGCTTTGCCGAAATTCGAAACAAGCTGCGTAAGTAGTTTTGTTTATACGAAGTAGCTTGAAATCTGGGATTACCAGTTGCTGATGAATGAGACAGTTTAAGAATTCCACTCTGATGCATTCTGGAAACCATTTGCCGAGTCTTGGAGGTTGATTCACTGATTGCACCCCCTGCAAGGTAAAATGTGGAATTGAAGGGCACCACCACCACTACCTTTCTGTAGAGATGCTGCTGCCTTCACTGCCACTGAAATCCCTGTACCTACCTCAATGTGCATTTCCCAATTTGTATACTTTGGTGCATAAATTCTTATGGCCAGCTTGTATGTTTGGGAATGCTACCAGCGGCTCTGCAACCCCATTTAATCCAATTTTGTAGTGTTATTGATATGTTGGGGTGTCCAAAAAGATCGGAAATGTAGATAAAAACTCAGATATCGGTAAGATGCTCCGATTGCAAGAGAACTTGCCAAAACTGTTTATATTCAACTTGCATCTTGTACATTGGTAGTAAGCATGCTCTTATCATTGTTGGTGTAACCTCTCTCTCAGACACACACAATGCTTCAATAGAAGTAGCAGTGATGAATCATGAGGCTGATTAATATGGTATGCTTAAGTAGTTGGTGGTTATTACTTTGAAGGGTAGCTAAAACTGCAGGGCATCTGTCGATGAGCCTGTTTTGGAGGATATGCACATTATTATGTGTATAAGTGAGAAAGGCTTAGTAGGAAGCCACATGAGTTTACTGGGAGTTTCATATAGCTCAGGGCCAGAAAAACTAGCTTGTATATTGAGAGAGAGAGAGAGAGAGAGAGAGAGAGAGATTGAAAATTTTCTATATTAGTTAGTATCAAAATGGGCATTCTTCAAGCAATGCCCAATTACCTATTCTGGGTGATCCACAGTTTAATTGCAATGAGTTTCAGTTACAGTTGTGCTAAGTGGCCTCGGGAATTTACGTATTATAGCAAGGACAAACAACTTTTATGTACTTTGAAAAATTTTTACACCTTGAAACATTAAAATTTTTATACTTCATCGTCAAAAAAATATTAGTAGTATACTCGATTTCAAGAAAATTGAATACCAAATTTCTATTTAAAGCACTTGTAATTGGGAGTTATACAAATTAGTGTGTATAAAAAAAGACTATGATAACCAATACAACAAAAAAATTTATTAGAAAAAGCCACGAATATTTATTTTTGGACTTTTTTTAATCTGATTGAATGTGTAATGTAAATTAAGAATTTGATAATATTTTAGACTGCAAAAGTATCACCCAATTTAATAATTTTTTTGGAAGTGTGGAATTACAACCGTTTGTTTACTCGTGTGTACAAATTTGGCCCCGCCTGGAGGGTTCACCCGGTGAACCAGTTCTTAGACCGGGCTGGGTTGCTTATTAGATTGTTTAGTGGTTTGATAAGTTAGTGTAGGTAGAGTTTGACAAGATGAGTTTGGCGAAAATAGTTCAATGGACTCTTAAAACCTTTGTTTGGATGATTTTTTCAAGTTATAGACAACAGTCTTGCCTTATAGCTGGCTCGACACCTTAAATCTTTGAATGTGGGTTTCATCAAATCTATGAGATGAGTTCCAATCAAGCCATACCTAAATTAATGAGAGAAATGTCATTTGCACTCTTGAATTAAACAACACATGAGTATGAATTGGTTTAACCAATAAATAATATAATCATTTATAGAATAAATAAATGATAATAAATGATAATAATGATATATCCGTGGATTTTGCATGTATATATATTAAATACTAAACACGAGTATAAATTAGAATCATCAATGAATTCTATGGAAACAAAAGTCAGGGTTGGATTTAAAAAAATTTGAGAAAATCAATTCAATCCCTCCCCAAGATCATCCAAACAAAAAAATTTGAGAAAATCAATTCAATCTCTCCCCAAGATCATCCAAACAAGTCAAGTAAGTCTTGAGTGATGTTATTAAATATGGCCTGGCCTGGAGGGTTCACCCGGTGAACCGGTTCTTGGACTGTGATAGATTGCTAATTGAATTGTTATACGGTTTAAGACTTATGTGACCAAGCAATTTTTATAAAATCAGTATGAGTCGAACATTTTTTTTAGTATGTACTAGTCTTATTAGTTGGTATAAAGATCAACCACTAACCCTAAAAATTAGCCACTCATTGAACTCAGTGTTTTAAAAATCAATCCGGCCCGACAAATTGATCCGGTGAACCGGAGCCTGAACAAGGCCAATTTAGTTATTAAATTATTTAAACAAATGAATCAGATAATACCCGCTGACTCGTCCAGTTTTATAATAAATTCGGTAGCCGGAAGGTTTAACTCAAATCCTATAAAATTAAGTTTCTGGGGTATTTTTGCCCAAAATTCATTTGTTGTTTTGTTTGCCTTTGCGTCCTCCGCCGGCTGCTCTCTGTCTCTCTCTCTCTCTCTCTCTCTCTCTCTCTCTCTCTCTCTCTCACACACACACACACACACACACACACACTTGCTCGTTGATCACTGCACTCAGCAGCTCAATCGAAGACTCGAACTCCTTCGATTCTCAGATCTTCGACTCAGTTCTTCGACCCACACAGATACACCCTCTTCATCCTTTAATCGACAATCTAAGGTACATCATCTGGTATTAGACCTCTCTCTCTCTCTCTGTGATGTTATATGTAGTTTTTTTTGGTTTATTTTCAGATTCAATTAATTTATATTTACATAAATTTTGGCCTATTTTAATTTCAACATTTATCATATTTCATATTCATTGATAATCAGATTACCCATTTTAATAATTATACAATCCATACGAATGTCATTTGTGGCTGATGGTTTGGCAAACAAGGCAGTGGAAGATGGTTGTGCGACTGATTTTTCTGGTACTGATCTCTTGCCTGCTTCCATTAAGATGAAATTGCTCCAGGATCAGCGATTTTTGCCTACTTTGAGAACCAAGACTGTGTTGGTTTTTGATGACTGGGGGTAATGTTGTTGAAATGGTGGAAAGGATTGGTGGTTGGAAACGTGATTAGCTTGCTGCTCTGGAGTATGGGAGGCTTCTTGGAAATAATGATAATGGCGTCATTATTTTTTGAAGGATTGAAGTCAAAGAATGTTTCTTTGGTATTTGTAATTCGTTAATTCTTTTGAACAGTATCTTTCTTATAATTCTTTGATTTATATCAATAAAATTTCTCTTGAAATTGAAAAAAAAAAACCAATGTCCTTGACATCCCACGAATGAATTCATAATTTCATATACATTGATAATTTATAGGTGGGTTAGAGGATAAATCATATTAGTTATTACATTCTGCTGCTATGAAATATGATGTTGAGGATTCTTGATGCTAGGTTTTAAATATTAAGAATTCTTGTTGTTCGTTATATATAATTGAATTGCACTGTTGACATTAGTCATTTGATAATATTGGTATTATTTGTATTTTCAAGTGAATTACAATTTACATATGCCTTGCTTTGGATACATTATGCATTGAATTGAATGCATTGGATACATATTTGATGATTTTGGAGGGTTTAGTTTGATCTAATATATATTAATCATGCTATTTTCATAATTATTGTGATTTTTTTAGCTTATTTATAATTATTTTTTATTTTTTTATTATTTGACTAGTTCAACCAGTGACCCAACGTTTGAACCAATAACCCTTTGACCTAGTCCCTTTTCCGGGTTGATATTTGGGCCGGGATTTAAAACTATGATTGAACTAAACTTTCAGGATAGAGTCTCAAGTCACCTCTCCCACTCGTCGTCGCACGCTGCAACCATCGTCCGGCATTTGCCCTCCGTCGTCTCTGTCAGGTAATTTCTCTCATCTCTCACTTTACAGTCTCACCTTGTCTCTCTAATATCTCTCACCTAACAATCTTACAAATCATTCATAGCAGCAACTCTACAAATCAAATTCATCTCTCTCTCTCTCTCATTAAACATTTGAATTACCTAATTGATTCTTAACCTTGATTGTTTTATCTCCTAAAAGTCCTAATATGGGTAATATACCTAATCATTCATAGGTATAATAGCATGTTTCTTTCCTAAAAGCCCTCTGCTTTGGTTGTTTTATCACCTCACCCCCATTGAAGCCGCTGAACTTTAGCGGAAATATGGGTCCGATTGGTGACCCAACGGTTGAACTGACTCATCGATGTGGTGACTTCACTGGGTTGCTGTTTGAGTCGGGTTTAATAACTATGGCCGCGCCCCGCCTCTCTCTTGGCGTCACCCTCTCTCTCCACTCCCTCCTCCGCCGCATAGCCCACGAAGACGACGGCGGTCTTATCTCCCCTCAGTCTATGTAAGGCTCTTCCTCTCTCTTTGCGTGTTGCTGTTGTTCTGGGATTTTGTTTTTATTTTTGAGACAGACATTTGATTTAATCTCAAGACATTGTTGAGTTTTGAAGAAGTGTTTTTGAGAAATCAGTGCATCAAAATTGGACATGAACTGGTCCAGGTTACAAGAACAATTATAGCTTAGAATCATGGTTTACTTGTCGTGTTCTATGCTCTACACTTACGAAACTAACTCAGGCCCTGGCTTCTTTTTCATTCCAGTGAACCACACGTTTGTTGAATCTCTAAACCCACAGACATAGACCCACCCACTGTTGTGTACATGTATTTTCTTTCGTTTATGTACTTATTTATCTGAGACTCGATGGTGTTTGACTGTTTGAGGAAGAGGATACAGGCACCCATTCATCTCTCTCTAGAACACTCCCCTATTTAGTTGGCATTTGAAACCCAGTACCTACCATTAGTCTTTGTTTTTACGGGTGACATGAAATCTAGAAACCCATTAAACGAGGCCTCTTGTTCTATACTTATTGTGTCATTTACAGACAACATGCTATTTTATGCTGACAAAGTTGATGATCAGTCAATGGTAAGTTCTACTTGTAGATTTGGAGAAAAGAAGTTACCCCATCTATAACGCCATACAAACCTGGTTTAGTTATGTTGATCCAGATTTTGGTTGTATCATGGGTCAACTCTCTGCTCTCACCTCTTTTAGTTATCACTGCGTAGCTCTTTGATCTGGAATTATAATAGTGTTCATTCTTACAATTAAGAGACTTCCTTGCACACATCAAATTTATTCAAACGGGTTTGCCTTGCTTCTTCATTTTGTTATTTGATTTGGATCATTATGTTCCGATTGCCAGTGTTGGTCGTTGGAATCGTGGTAAACGAATGATGGCTTTGTAAACTAAAATTCCATACTTATCTCTAGTTCTTTTTGTCTATATTAGTGGATTTAATAGTTCCCTCCATAATTCATGTTGTGTATTTGATTTCTACTGTTATGGTTGAAACAATAATGTGCATTCACTGGTTGAGTGGTTCCTATCCAAAGAGTTCTTTCTCTTTCCTTGTGACTTCTGCAAGGTTGCAGGGGATGTCCTTTCCTTTGTTCGGTTTGTGAGATAGAAACAAAAAAAGAGAAGAAAGTGTATTTTGTCCCTTCATAGTTTTCAGTGACTAAGATCTTTCAGTCATGAGACTCATGACAATTCAATGTAGTGTTCTATAACCGTATCTTCATGTATTGTACCATTGTTTCATTCTTTTAAATTTCCTTTCAACAGGAATGAGCCATTCACAAGATACTTCCGCTCCTAAGCGGAAAAGGCCAGAATCGAATCCCCTTACTCAGTCCCTTGTCGATGCTGACCGTGCAGTTCTCAAAGTGATCAAAAGTAAAGAAGATATGGGAATCTGGACAAGAGACATCAAACGAGACACAAACCTACCAGAAAATCTTGTTAATAAATCCCTCAGGTCACTTCTAGCAAAGAAACTGATAAAGGAGGTTGTAAACATCCAAAACAAGGGGAGAAAACACTACATGGCAGCTGAGTTTGAACCATCAAAGGAAGTCACGGGTGGCTCCTGGTATGTGGAAGGGAGTCTTGATAAAGAATTCATTTCTGTTCTCAAAGATTTTTGCTTTAGGTTCATACGTAGTCGGAAGGTTGCTACAACGGAGCAAGTTCACCATTTTTTCAAGAAAAGTGGGGCCATTAAGGTTGAGTGCACAGTTCAGCAAATTTCCGAGATATTGAGGTGTATGGTTTTGGACAATGAAATTCTAGAGGTGAAGAGCACTGGATTAGGAGAATATCATTCTATTCCTATTGGCACATCTTGTTATAGATGTGCAACTGGGGCAGGGATTGGACAAGGTCCAAAAATTGGGGCAATGGCTTCAATGCCATGTGGTGTTTGTCCCAGGATTAATCAATGCACACCCAATGGGATTATTTCACCAAGTACTTGTGCCTACTTCACAAAATGGTTGGATTTTGATTACTAATGGATTTTGTTTGAGCTATTTTTCAAATTGGCTTTTAATATTTTGAGTACCGCTTTTGGAGGATCTTTGTTTTGCAATATGGTTTACCATTTTATGCATACTTCGACAACTCTATGCAGTATTATTAAGCGAATACGTAATGGAAGTGGTTTTTGAGGTTTAACTTGTTTAGTTGTTATGGTATTGTGTTTCTTATATCTTGTAGGTGCTTTCTTATATTGGGATTCACGTGCAGTTGCTATTCATTGTTTAGAAGACAGAGTATGAGATCAATACAGGTCTATTACACACTCCCTCCCTCCCCACACACCCCTAATGACTTGACTAGATATTAGATGTTTTTAAAGATAAGACAGACCTCTATGTACTATGATTTAGTCCTCTGGTTCAAACCTCCAGAAGCGCATAATCCACAATACCGAGTAAATATTCAATACGACGGTGATATCACATCATTATCCTAGCAAGTAGCTCTATTTTGATTTGTTGCCACCATTACTCTGTATACCGGAAAATGGAGTGCTTGAACTTCCATGGAAATCTAGTTAATTTGTTGTTTGTACATATAACTTAAGCTGTAAGGCTCAGCCAATCACCATTTTATGTTACTGAATGAGAAAGCAACAAAGTGCAAAGTAAATATTCCATACAACAGTAAATATTCAATACAACGGTTATATTACGCCATCATCCTCGCAAGTAGCTCTATTTTAATTTGTTGCCAATGTAAAGGGGATATTGGATCATTTGAATGCCCATGAAAATCTAACCAATTTGTTGTTTGCACATATACTTCAGCTACAAGGTTTATATCCGATCATTTTATGTAACTGACTGAGAAAAGAAGCAACAACAGCGCGAAATGCACAATGCCTGCCAAATTTCCAATGCAACAGTGAGATCCCGTCATCATCCTAGCAAGTAGCTCTATGGCAAATAGTTGCCATCATTTTGTATTATACCAGAAAATGAAGCATTTAAGCGACTATGAAAATCTAATTAATTTTGGTTTGTGCACACACTTAAGCTGTAGGACTCATAGCCAATCGTCCTTTTATGTTACTGAATGTGAAAGAAAGAAACAGAAGGGTAGAATGCACAATCCCCGGTAAATATATAATACATCATTGACACGTACTATCACTATCCAATTACAGAACACCACATCGTCCGCTCTTGTTGAAGCCACTTGCTGAAACAATCATTATTTAGAAAATCAACTTTAATTAAGCATTGTGATATCCAAATAAAAGCATTGTGCTTCTATTGCAGTCCGAGCAGAGAAAGCTGACCCAAACAAAGCTATTAAGCAGTAGCAGAGTGAAGGACTCTCTCTGATGCTTCTTTCTTCTTGGCCTTCTCTTTCTCAAGTAAGTATATTCTCTCTGCTTCGGGCACTGCCAGCATTATCGTGTGCAGCTTGAAATTCAATTCTTCAACCTTTTCCATGAGCCTGTCATTGGTATACATGCCAAGAAGAACAGTTTGGATTGTCTTCCAGCTTTCCATCAATGGTAACGCGATAATCAAAGCTGATCCAATGGTGCCCCATGCTATAGCTATGATGGCCCAGAATGTGAAGTACCCCTTACTGAATTGTCCTGCATTAACCCAAAAAATATATAACTTCCTACATTAACTCAAAAACTAAAGTGGTTTGATATAACTGTGGGGGGTGGGGGGGAAGAGTTAACCTGCAGGAAGTGTAAGCAGAGGCCACAATATAACAATCACAACAGTAAAACCAACACCCCATTTCATTATCCAAGCTTTTGCTCTCACCAGCTTTTCCTCCCTGAACTCTTCAGCTGGCAATTCACTGTTTTCCTTCTCAACCAGAGTTATCTGCTTAGTGGTAACCCAGTCATAGTCCTGAGGCCACAACAAACTACAAATAACATGAACAGCGCCACCAGTAAGTATCGAAACAAGGTTTCCAGCAAGCATCGGTGCATTTCGGCCAGTCGTGTCAAGATTTACCCTGCCATACTCAACACTTGCAACTGACAACCAAGTGATAATCCCGAGAATGCAACCGATAATTGCCCCAAGAATGGCGCCTATTGCGTTTGCTTTTCGGCATAGAAGCAAGAAAGTTAAGGGAAGAACTGCTGAGCCAATGAATACACCCATGGCAAGATACATCCAACCAAGAGAAACTCCAGCCTTGTTCAGTATTACTGCCAAAATTCCCATGAAACATCCAAAGGCGAGCACAACAGCCCTTGACACTTTCAGTATTTGCTTTCCAGTTGCATCTGGATTTATATACGTACGATAGATGTCATATGTGCATAATGAAGAGACAGCAATTAGCTCAGCTGAACCAGCAGATGTCACAGCCCTGATCATCATATAGAAAATTTTGAATCTCAAAACAAATGTCAGAGCTAAAAGTTACTTTCCTTGATGGAGTTGCATCCATACAAGTTAGATGTGAAGCATTAAAAAAAAAACTCTAGAATGGGATGAGATGTCATTGATTGTAACTCACATAAAAATCATGGTGAGGAGAAGAACAGATCCTCCTTTCCCCATCAAAGCAATAGCTGTAGCCACAGGAACAAGTCCACGGCTTGCCTCACTTGCAGTTATAGGTAAATCTAGGGCTAGTGCTCCTAGACCAAGTGCAGTTGCCAAAGAAAATGGAACAGCAAACCATACCAGCCCACCTAACAAGTAGCCCGTATGAGTCGATGATGGTCTTGCAGCAATGGCACTTACCCAATATCCCTACAGCTTCGATGTTAACAAATTTAGAATGCTAGTGTATCAAATTATGACAATGGGAAAGATTAGGTGACTGCTGGTTACATGGTCAATGTTGAAACTTACATTGTCAACAAAAACTGCACCAAAATTTCCAACTATGTTGATGATCCCAAAAATTAGTCCACCAGAACTCAGCATTGTGAGGTAAGACCCCTTGTGGTTCCCACTAACTGGACCACAAGATTGCCCAACATTGGAGAGTGGCTCCTGACAGCTTCTTGATTTGCTTGCAACCTCCAATAGGCGATGGTATACGATGCTTGGGCTGCCAAGCTCACTGCTTGCTGTGTACACTAGGTACACAAAGCTGACTAGAACCACATGAACTGAAATTGAATCCAACAAAAAAGCCTCAGAAAAGCATCAGCATAACTAGAACGGTTCACATCCTTTTAAGGCAAAAATACAAAATAGTGTTATACCTATTACAGAGTGTACATAACTTGCCAAGAAGGTGGCCTTTAACCCTCCTGCTAGTGTATAGACAATAACACCGAGAGGAATAAGAAAACTTGCAGCATAAATGTTCACTCCAGTGAGTGCATTCACAACCACAGAACCACCAAGAAGAAGCATGGCAGTTACAATAATGTTTGTCAAGAAGCAGAAAGCAAGAAAGACAAGATGAGCAGCAGTCCCCCATCTGAAGTAGCACAAAGATTATTTACAGTTACAATTGAGGAAAAAAGTACGCGGAATTTTAGAATGACGGAACTGATGTGAAGTCACTTTTGCTGGCTGTATTTTTGCAAGTATGAAATGCACCATACCTAGCTTTAACAATCTCACAAACAGTATGAGCATTAGGAGCTTTTCTTTTGATCTCTATAGCCATGACACCAAACAAGAGCACCTGTTCATCAGCATTTCTGAAACTAGTCAACAACATATATCTCACTGCCATCTTGAGGAGACTGAGAGCTAAAGAATGAAAACAAAACAGGAAAGATGAGCATAAACATGCCTGGATAGTAGCCCCACTTGCATACCAGAAAGGACCACTAATTCCATACTCCCAGGCAACATTGGAACTTTGTAGGATTGTTGCAGCCCAAGTCCACTTCAGAAATCAGATATGTCAAAGGATATGTCAGCTTAATAAAAAGGTCCTCTGAATTTGCAGAACAGTGGGTATCTCAGCATTGTTACCTGAGATACAATCACACTAGCAATAAGTCCTGTTTTAACATTTCTGCCTGCAGTGTTGAACCATTCCGACGTGTGACGGGACCCAACATATCGCTTCTCAAGCCATATCTGATCGAGCAGGATGATTGAGCAGACAAGTTCATAGTCAAAGAATAGTAATGGAAATGGAACTGCTCACAATATTGCTAATTTGAAAAGCACACCCAAATAATGAATTAATAAGGAACGAAACATGTGGTTATTAGGCAATCCTCACTGCTAACTTTCAACATAATAGAAAGTAATTTGATTTCTCCCCTCTTTTACCCTTTTCAATCTCCAATCGTTTCTCTTTCTTCCCCCCATAATCAAACAGGACATTTCCCTTGTAATATACAAGAGGTGACTCAGTTTAGCCAGACTGATGGGACTTTTCTGAAATACTCTATGATGAAGACACGTGTCCTCGGTATTACTAAAACACTGTTGCTATGATCAAGCATCATCGGCGCGCAGGGTCCTCTCCCCCGAGGCACTCAGCATATAGGATCATGCATTCAGTATGTTTTACACCGACACGTGGTCTCGGTCTGATATGGCACCTCGGTCGGTGTCCCTACCTCGGTACCGATATGATCCTTACCTCGGTGCCGAGGTGTACCGTCCAGGACGCCTCCTCTACTCCAGGATAATCTATTGACGTACAGGTCATTAGCCTAGGCTATTCATCATGACCTCGTCTTACACAAGCAATGTCAGAACGTACTGGAATACAGAGGTCACAGCCAGTAGGGGATGGACGCGTGGCATATGATATCACATCGAAGACAGACAAACCGCATGCCGTTGTTGACATGCGACTTGGGAAAGCAAACAATTAATTGCACCATTCCCTTGATGAGACCGCATTCAATGCGGTAAGGTTCAAAAATGAAAGGCAATAAATGCTCCTAATACAGAGCATTTATTGCATCCACCCCGAGAGGAGCACATTGTACCGTCGGCATCCGATGACCCAGCATTGATTGCTCGGGACCCCGAGCAGTTAATTCGAGAAGACATTCCTCATCAGAATCAATGCGCACGCTACCTGTGCCTAATGATCACCTACTGACCACACTGACAGCAATCATGAGCTTTTAAGGTATAAATACTCCTTGCAAAAGGCAAGGCGGGTATGCAACAACAAACTCTTTACTACAAGACATTCTCAGTGTTTTCTCCTTCCTCTCTCTTTCTAAAAGACTGACTAGATCGTCGGAGGGGATACGCTGGAAAACACTCCGGCGCCCTTCTAACTTGTTCTAGGAACCTCTTTCAGCCTTACTGGATCGTTCTTCCGTTCCCAGGGTCTCCCATTGCCGTTCCAGGTTACCACCGTACCTTGCAGGCTGTCCCAAGCAGCGTGTTTGGTCACTCAATCGGCTCACTCGAGTTCACCAAGGGAGAGATCTGTTCTCGTTTTTTATATTGTGCAGGATCTTGCACGCACAATCTGGCGCCGTCTGTGGGAAACGACTATTTTCCTAGTCTTTTCTCTCTAAAGAACAGTGACCATGGTGAACACTCGACAGAAAGGGAAAGGACCCCACCAAAGGAGTCTCGAGTTACAAGCTCCCTGTCATCACGGAGGGAGGGATCACCCCAACACGAATAAAAGTGCCTCTACTCGGTCAAGAGGGGTTACCCCTCAAACCAGTATGGGGATCAGGTCAGGGGGATCAGCCCCCTTGGCTCGTCAGCTGGCGGAGGTGATTGAAGAAAAATTTGGCGATAGATTACGTCAGCTGGAGAAGGACAATGTAAACGTCCTTAGCCGGCTCGACGAGTTTGCCGCCTCAGGCGGAGGGTCGAGGGATTCATTCCTTTCCCGTGGACTTCCCGCCCAGGAGGCGGAAACGAAGGATCTAAGAAACCACCTAGACCACAAAGCAGAAAGCTCTAGGGCCCCAAAGCGACCCAGAGCCGGCGAACATCATCATGACAACCATTCCAGGAAAGCAAGGCCATTGGCCCTGGACGACCTCCGGCGAGGTTTGTCTAGACGGAGGAAGGGAGATGAATCCGAGGAGGACTCAACCCAATCCACACGACGCCCAGGAAATGAGGGGCTTACCAATGAACTCAGGGACTTCAGAAGGCATCCCGTCAGGGAAGAAGTTGATCTCAGAGCCCGATTAGACTCCAGGAGAAAGGGTAAGACTGTCCAGGATGAGGCCGAGGACGAAGTCATACAAACACCCTTTACGAGGGAAATCAGTGAGATGGAGGTCTCAAGAAAGTTCGTCGTGCCGCGGTTCAAAACCTATGACGGGCGGTCCGACCCCGAAGCCCATATCAGGCAATACAAGCAGATGATGTCCCTCTATCATTCGGACCAACGGTTTCTCTGCCGAGTGTTCCCTATGAGCTTGGGGGACTCTGCGATGAAATGGTTCGAGACGCTTCCCCCAAACAGTATTGGGTCCTGGAAGGAATTGACTAGGCAGTTCCTGGCTCGATTCATTACGGGGAGTAAGCGCCCCAAAGACATTGGATCATTGTTGACCCTCAGACGGAGGGAATCCGAGACTCTTCGCCAGTACGCCATCCGATACTGGGAAGAGGTCAATGAGGTAGAAGGCTGCTCGGAGGTCATGGCAGCGCATCTTTCCGGCTCGGCTTGGCGAGGGACACGGACCTGTACCGATCCCTGACCAAGAAGACTCCCTCGGATATGGGGGAACTGATGGCCCGGATCAACAAGTACTCGAGGGTTGAGGACGAGATGGGAAGCAACAAAGGCCGAGCCCTCCAATCTAAGAGAAAGGAGAAGGAGCGCGAAGATATTCCCCGAAAGGGATTGCTACCCCATCCAGGGGGTTCGTCCAGAGGAGTTCACACTGTTTTCAAGGAACCCATCTTCAAGTTGCTCCATAAAATCAAGCACGAGCCGTTCTTCAAATGGCCGCCCAGGATGCAGGGCGACCCCTCCACCCGTGATCAAAAGGTTAAGTGTTCCTATCACCGGGATTTCGGGCATCGCACCGAAAGCTGTAGGGTGTTCAAATCGTTCTTGGAAAGCTTGGTCCGAGACGGACATTTGAAAGAGTACATAGAGCCCAGGCCAGAAGAGAGACGAGCCCTTGCCCCGACTGAGGAACCGGACAACATCATAGACGTCATTCATATATGTCCCCTGGAGCGCCCCACGTCCAAGGAGCTCGAGTCCGACCTCAAGAGGGTAGCTTTTACAAGGAAGGTAGCCGAGGGTGATGTGGGGCCATCAAGTAAAAGGGCCAGGACGGGTGAGCTTGGCATTACATTCTCCGACGCGGATTTGACAGGCGTAGTGACTCCCCATAACGACGCCCTTGTCTTGACCCTAAGGATAGGGAAATTCGATGTCAAGAGAATTTTGATAGACTCTGGAAGCTCCTCGGAGGTGATGTACTTCGAAACTTTGAAACGGATGGGTTTGGCCCCAAAGACCTCACCAAAGTCAGGACACCCCTCATCGGGTTCAACGGCTCATTCGCCTTGCCCGTGGGGAAAATCACATTGCCAGTTGCCACTGGTCCCTTTATCATCGACACCGAGTTTGTTGTGATCGATACGGACTCTCCCTACAACGTGATTATGGGGCGAACATGGCTGCATGCGTTGGGAGCGGTGCACTCCACTTTCCACCAGAAGTTAAAATTCGCCACGCCAGAGGGTATCATGGAGATCCGGGGGGACCAAGCGTCCGCGAAGAACTGTTTTTATTCAGCCGTTCGAGCCGGGGCGTCCAGCCAGGAGAAGGGGCGAGCACCGGAAGAGATTATGGAAAAATAGCAATTACAGTCCGGGCGTCCAGGAATGGATGACCCCCGGATAGACCCAACTGAACGGTCGGTTGAAGACCTCCGGAAGGTGCCCTTGGTAGAGGGAGAAGAAGAGAGGTATTTCTTAGTGGGGACCTCGATGCCTACAGCCGAACAGGAGGAGATGATCGAGTTCCTAAGGGGAAATACAGACGTGTTCGCCTGGAACGAAATGGAAATGACAGGGGTAGACCCCGAGATAATCACTCACAGGCTGCATGTTGACCCGTCGCACAAGCCAGTCAAACAGAGGCCACGACGCATGGCCCCGCATCACACCGCGCGGTCAACGAGGAAATCGACAAACTCCTGAAGGCCGACGCCATTCGAGAGATACAATTCCCAGAATGGCTATCCAATACGGTGTGCGCAAAGAAGAAAGGGGGGAAATGGCGTGTCTGCGTAGACTTTACAGATCTGAACAAGGCATGCCCCAAGGATGACTACCCCCTGCCAAAGGTGGACCAGCTGGTAGATGCCACAGCCGGATATGAACGAATGGACTTCCTGGATGCCCGAGCAGGATATCATCAGATCCCTCTCTATGCCCCGGATCAGGAAAAGACGGCATTTATCACTCCGAAGGGAGTTTATTGTTACAAA